TTAGGATACAGCCCCCAAATTCCCTTGTTGTTATTGAGGAGCTTAACATCTGTGTCAGCATCACTTAGTGAATATGGGACAGCCCAAACTGCAGATATATTTGCTTTCTTGACCTACAATGAAGGTGAGCCAGCTGTCAGTCCGAAGTTCATGTGAATTCATAAGGTATACTTGGCTGCTGTTACTGGGTTTCATTTAAGTTGAAGCAAGGCTCCTGGTAATGTCCAGTCATGTCTACAATCTCTTATTGTGGTTGCTTGACCCGCAAATGCATATACCTCATTGCATTATCACTCTGGAAAGTAACAGCATTTTTATATATGCCTTCATGGCTCAGAAAATGTGAGTGTAGGGTTTTCATGAATTATATATTTGACTGTTATAACAGCAGCTTTTTGCCCATTCATCCATTTTCTTGTGACATGGTCAAACTCACAGCAGCAGGAAACAGCTGCCGTTTATTTTTGGAACTTGACCTGTCCCTTTCAAAATGTAGAGGTTCCCCTGCTCAGAGCTCTTAGCAAGTGAACTTAGTTCCTGGGCCAGAAATAGCATATCTCCGTATGAGAATTGCATGTCTTTAGCATTGTGTAGTCCTTTTGGAATTACATTTGGAATAACATTATTCATTATTAGTGTTGCAGGAATGTGTAGAAGAAGAAGGTACACAACACTCTGCTAGGTGCTGTGCCAAAACAGAGCAAAAAGGTGATCCAGGTTCCCAAGCAGACAAGTAGCAGTCCTTGAATGCAAACTCAAGATGGGAACACAAGGAAGTAGTAAGAGAAGAGCATTTGGAAGGGTAGGAACCAGATGTTTAACTGCTGATAGACATATATTAGTTTATGCCATTGTATGCCTGGAAGAGCCTGAGACTTTGGACATCAAAGTAATTGCAGTTTTTTGTCTGAAAAACATCTTTAAAGTTACTTTTGGAGTGTTTGTATTCGTTAGTTATCATCTCTTCTCTACAGCTTGTTCAGTGTGCCTCCCAGCTATTTTTGGCTTCACAGTCAGAGGGACAGAAGAACACTGTGTCTTACAGTGACTAAAATCACTAATTTTTACTAGAGTCCCTTGCTGATTTACAACATATGATCAAATATATGCTTTTAATTGTTGTGGCACATTAGTATTTTCACTTGCCATGTTGTTTCAGTCATAATACCAGGTCTTGCTCTTGCTCTTCATTTTCCTGAGTTCCCTTGTGTTGCATGTTAAATTTTGAACTGAAGGGTCCAAGGGTGGAAGAGGCAGCTTGTCTTGGCAAAATAATTCTGGAGTGGAATCATGCCTTTTTTTGTTGTTGTTGTTGTTAGTTTAGTTTACTTCTACTATATTTTGTCAAAGGCCTTCCATGAATAACACCTGTGTAGTCTGAAGACAAGCTAATAAGCAGGAGGAAGGCAGGGGATAGTGAAGGGGTTTTATTGTTTAAATTAGGGTGAAAAAAAAAAAAAAAAGAGAGAAATTGTTTTCAAAGCAAAGTTAAGTTTTAATGTTTCTATGGAAAGAAATAAAAGGAAAAATAGTTGATTAGGAAATCCTTCCTGTTTGAGGAGTTTACCCTCTAGAAAGGATAATTATAATAAAGGTAAAATGAAAAGAAATATAGGTGATTAGGAAACCTGTACTATTTTAGGAGAGCACTCTGAGGGAAGGATACTAAAGATGAAAGTGTTGTGGAGGTAACTGGACATGTAGCTTTGTTAAAATTTGTTAAATACTAACAGAAAGTAAAAATGAAAAAATGAAAAACAATTTCTTAACTTGATTTATAATCAAATTATGTAGTAATGAAATAATTTGAATTTTAAATGAGCATCTGCAACAAAAAATAAGTATTTTTAAAGGTCTGAGTGATTTCTGTCTGTTAGTGAGCCATGAATAAAATCCATGTTTCAAAGACCAGAAAATTAATTATTTTAGCTCAAATATCCTGAGTGAACGTCAGTCATGAGGCTACCTGCTCCTAGATATCCCACATTTAATGTTTTTAATCCTAGTAATATTTCAGCCATATTGTAAATACATATTATAAGTATTTAGTTCAGTAAAGTTCTGTTACACTGTTTTAACTGAAAAACTGAATACGGCACATGAGGATGAAGTAGCCTTTGGCTTTTTTTATTTACTAGGAGTAATTAAATACGTACTTTCCTAGTTTTGCTTTAAATTTCTCTCTTTCTTAGAGAAATTACACAGGAAGAGTTAAAAGGTATTACAAAAAGAGACAAATCTTGATGTCCTGTTAGCATTAGAAATGCCTCCTTTACTCTGCTGTGAAGCAGAAAGTGAGTATGGATTATATTAGGGTCTAATCTAAGGGGACACATAATTTTGAACAGGTAGGGACAGAGAATCTTAATCTCAAATGTCTTGTAGTCTAAATTGCTTCTTGTGACATGCTATAGAGACTATCAGCATGGGAGGCAGTGTGCAAAGGGAAAAGGGTTGTCAACTGGGCACATTGAAGTACAACTGTGAGATCAGTACTGTACAGATTCCTGTAGCATTTTACTCTACCATTTTTCAAGGATTTCTTCCTCTATTATAGTCATACAAGTGCTTACAGTCTCAAGCAATATTTGCTACCAATGCAACTTCACTGTAGGATTTGGGCAACAAAGTGTGATTTTATCGTTGTTCTGAGAATGAACAAATGGTATTTTAATCTAGAATTTCCATTCAATTGATGTTTAATTCCTTGTTACAGTTGGGGTGGGCCACATGACATGAATACAGCTGTGGGAAACATTTTGAGAAACTTACTTGTTTTGGTTGGAATTGCCAATTTGTCCAGGATTTCAAAGAGATGATTTGCATTTGAAAAAAAAAGAAAAAAAAAAAAAAAAAAAAGGACACACTGGAAATCAAACAGATCTACTGAAAAACTGCTGCTGTTTGTTTGTTTGTTTGTTTATCCATGGCTAATATCCCTATCCTCAACAGGACTTGGAGGGCTAAAAGAGCTGGAAAGTCTCAGCTCTCACACTCTTGGGCTTGAAGTTCAGGTTTCACAGGCTTCCAGAGTCCTGACAGGCAGACCACCCCAGAGCTGGGCAGGGAATGGAAACTCTGCTTCAGAGGGAATCTCAGCAACAAAAAAACTACATATTCTTCCAAAATGGAACTAAATCAAATATCAAAAACTTCACATATTCTGCCAAGTAAAGTTACCGACCTGGGCATAACTTCTAGCTATGACTTTAGAGTCTATTTTTGAATAAATTGTTCATGAACTTAACCTAGTTTTTGTTCCTATGCATTGAAATCCTGTAGCTATTTTTGTCCAAGTGAGAACTGCACAGTCAGACCATTACAAAATCCAGTAAATAAGAATCATGAATCTTCGGGAATGTAGCTTGATATCCTTGCATCACCAGTATGCACAGGGAAGCAGAATCTGAGCCCTGTGTGTTCCCTGCTTTTAGTGGGCTGGACTGGATGGCTTGGCCACAGAGTGGAGGGAATCCCTTATAATATAACCCCTGGGAGCTGAAAGCTTATCCTATGGTCATCGAGAGCAGTGAAACTCCTTTAGGAGTGATTCACAGGAATCTACTTTTTGCAGATGACAACAGGAAAAGCATGTGGTTCAGTAGTGCAGCTAAACTCTTTTCCTTCTACCTCCAAAATTTCTGACAGTGTGAAAAAAGAATTTTTAAGAGTAAAGGGTATCGGCTTACTGAATATCTATACATCATCTCATGTATTTCTAGTAACCCTTGAAAAGATTTTTCTCGTGAGTTGAAGTTAACAGGGTTAAGGGGAAAGAAAGATGGTGAATATTATTAACAGTGAAAATAATGTGTTCAACGTTGTTGGTCTGTAAGATGTTACAAAGTTTCCCAAGCCAGTGGGTATAAATTTCATTTATAGGGTCCATCTGAACATATCTTGTAGAGCTTTAACATAGCTGAGCATGCCTTTTAAGTGCCTTGGTTGTACTAGAAATATAATTTATCATCTTGGATTACCTTTTGGATAGTTTCTTTTCCCCCTAGCAACTCATGGAACTTTATTCTCAGTGGCACAGCATTATCAGAAAACAGATGGATATGTTTATATACTTGTATGTGTAATCTGATTTGTTTCTCTTCTTTAACTTTTTTTTTCCTGTTCCCCAGTGTTTCTTACAGGAGCTAGTGGTGGAAGAGCTTTAAGATGCAAGATCCACCCACAATGCTAGTCAACAGTTGCACATAAGAAAAGAGTGGTGAGAGGAGAGACATCTCCTTGAGTGGGAGTAATGACAGGAGTGGAAGATTTTAAAGCCTCCTCACTCAGATTTTTTTTCCGTAGGAAGGAATTAGAGATAGTGTTTTCAATTCATTCACTGAAATGGGGATAAAATGATTCTATGAGCAGTGGAACTAACAGAGCTTAGTTTCCTGCTCCATTGTCTTTCTTCACCACTTTCTTGCAGTACACTCTGTTTCTTACTGTGACTTCCCTTGATACCTTCAATTCTCCATGTATGTCCAGTTCTCCCACAGAGCAATGCTCTGAGCTGCCTTCAGTGTGTTGTACTTGTTTGAGCAAGGGGAAACAGGCGCTGGGATAGAGTGGTCTCAGGATTGCAGGCTCTCACAGCGTCCAGAGCCTGATTTTTTTCTATAGTAGAAGCATTGATTGGGTTCCTACCATCCTCTGTTCAGCCACCAGTTGTGATAAAGCTTACAAGAATGCAGTATCCTAGAGATAGAGCCCATTGTCAAATGTGGTTGAAGTTATCCATTTACTTCAAAATTTGTTGTGAGAGACTGCAAGGTGGACAGACCGTTTGTCTTAAATATACCACCTTAACAGTACTAAACATGTCAACCAAAGTTTCTGTCCACGTCTGAAGAATATTTTTACTTTTGAAGTAAAATGTACGTCTGTATGAATCTCTTTCTCAGAGATTTGTAATAGTGCACATTGTCAAAACCTGCTGCGTTATCTTTTCTTTATCTATTTATGACGTTCTTAACCCATTGCTTTCACCCTCTTATCAGCATGACTCAGGTACAGTGCTGCCGCAGCAAGTTGGAGGAGCACTACTGTTCAGATGGGATCAAATTTGCCAATGTGCGTGAAGAGTGTGACTCATATACTGGTGAAAATTCCACCTGTGAAGCTGAATACTTTCAGGTGAGATCTCAGAGCTAATTCTGTTCATCTGCTAACAAATGGCTGTCCAGATTAGTATTAAGGGTTGATCTTGAAGGTCAACTTATTCAGTCCTGATTCACATAAATAGTTCTTCCCCACCTATGCATCTTGTCCCTGTTGACTGTCTGCTTTATGCTTCTTTAAGAGAACAGTCCTGCTTTGAGTGAAGCAGTCTGTTTCATTACATTTTAAAAAAGACAGGTTGTAAATGCAAAAAGGTGGAAATTCTCAAATGGGTAATTGGCTAGGAAACAACTTTTGCATGAAGAGAATACATCAACACAATATAGGAAGGGATGGGTGTGAAACTCAGTCTTGATTCAGTCCTCAGCTCTCATTAGAGCTTTATGGACTAAGATCAAACTTGGTTTTCAGTACTGGTGGTCCAAAGGGGTAGGATTGAAGTTAATCCTTGCAGTGTACTTATAATTCCAATTAGTGTGCATGTCCTTAGTTGACATGATTTTGATTTACAATTTGAGACATCTATAAGCTTGTGATAACAGGGTTTGATATTAGAATAAATATGCCCATTGGTCGCATCTTTAGTTAGTCTGCTCCCTGCCCTCCACCTTTATTATTGTCTTTATCTCGCCTTTCTTGAAAGTGATCATAGTCTTACCACCCTGCAGAGTGTTTTTGGAAGAAAGTTCCACCAGTAAGATCATGACTTTTTACATGACCCCCAGTCATGGACAGTTCTGGTCCTATTACAGATCTCTTTCAGTGGTGATGAAGATACTTTTTTTTTTTTTTTTAACTCTTGTATTATATAGAGGATAGCAGACAATGTCCAACTCACAAGTTGAATTGCCCTCTAAAATGAAAGATTGATCATATTTCTGGCAGTAAGACCCCACTGATGCCCACGTACCTATTAGAATTACTCATGGACTTAATAGAATGAGTCCAGAGGAAGGTCACAAGGGTGGTCAAAGGCACCTCTCCTATGATGACAGCATGAGGCAGTTGGGGTTGTTCAGCCTGGAGAAGAGAAGGCTCCAGGGAGACCTTATAGCTGCCTTCCAGTATCTAAAGGGGGCCTACAGGAAAGCTGGGGAGGGTCTCTTGTCATGGAGCGTAGTGCCAGGACAAGGGGGAATAGCTTTAAACTAAAAGAGGGTAGATTTTGATTAGATATAAGGAAGAAATTCTTTCCTGTGAGGGTGGTGAGTCTGGGTTGCCCAGAGGAGCTGTGAATGCCCCATCTGTGGAAGTGTTGAAGGCCAGGTTGTGTGGGGCTTTGAGCAACCTGGCCTAGTGGAAGGTGTCCCTGCCCATGGCAGGGTGGTTGGAATTAAATGGCCTTTAAGGTCCCTTCCAATCCAAACCATTCTGTGGTTCCGTGCTGGGGTTGTGAAGTAATTCACATTCTCACTGTGAGTAGAAGAAAGGTGATGCATCTGTTGAGCTAGATGTTGGGTTGTCACAAACTTGTTTGCACATGTAGCATGATTTCTTCTCTATGGTAGAGCATGGGATGATGGAACCACTGAGGGGATATCTCTCACTTCTTGACCATGTGTAGGATGCATCCTGCTCCTGTCATGGAGGTTCTTGTACCCTTAGAAAGCCTGCTGCCCCTACTTGATTATGGTAAGAAAAAAATATTTAGTCCTCTGTGTCAGTACGCTGAGGGCCTAGGAACAGATGAACACGGATTGTGATGGCAATTACTCTGGTGATTCAAGTGCTTGCTACTAGAGACGTGTTTATAATAGCAGCACTGTTTTAAACACATGTCAAGGCACAACCCTAAACCAGAATGCAACTGTTCAAGGAAACACACTTTCCCATCAATGGATTGGTGTTTCCATATGTGGGCTTGTCAGTATAAAGGAGAAGTTAGTGATGTTTTTTAAAATGGCCAGGATTCTTTAAAGATGGCAGGTTTTCATGATGACAGCTGTATTATTAAATAAAATGGACTGGGGCTTGATCTCTAGCCCTGAGAATAAATGACTCAGCATAGCTCGTGTCACGTAAATGGCATCTTTTCCCTGCAAAACACATGCATGAGGGCTGTTGGGAACACTCTCTGGCCTGTGCTTACCCCCAAATATGCTTCAGTGTTGTCTGAGAGGATGTTAATGGCCATTACAGCTTGCTATTATTTAAACAGTGGAGATGACTGTAGGACAGTGCCAGAGCCCATATTCTGTCCCTGTTTAATTTACTAGTATAAACATTGTCAGTGCTGTTTAACCTTTGTGAGCCACATTCTGCCCCACTACTCTCTTAACAGGAATATTCAACACTTAGATACACGTGGGTAGCTGTACTAGTACTATTGTAAATGATCTCCTTGATTTATGATCTAGTATCAGTGAACAATTCATCATTTCTTTTGCTGGTAACATTTTGAATGTGATGACCTGTAGGCATGCATTATAGTTGGTGATTGTGCCCTACTGTGGTAAACAAACTTTATATCAAGCCCACCTCACATGGGCTTGGATCTCACTTTGCTTAGGTTGGTCTATTTAAGTTTAGCTTAAGCAGCACAGTAAATCTTTTGGATCTGTGAGACAGCTAATTTTCTTTTGAATCCAAAACATGCAATTAGAAAGAAGATAAAAAGGCCATGTTACGAAAACAGTTGACTCAGCTTTTACACTTTCAGGCTGCAGGCATAGGTAATGATGGACATAATTCTACTCTTCCAGTTTCTGGGAATTACAGCTTTTATTGCCTTGAAAAAAATTAATGCAATATTAATCATTAATCTTTAAAATCTTCCTCAAAATATGACAAATTCAGGATTTGTTGCTGAAACAAGAGATTTAGACATGGTGTTACAAAAACTTCTACCTGTGCAGCTCTGCAAAAGGGGAGAAATTTGTACAAATCTGACCTTTAAGGTGCTTGGATATCTTCCCAAAATTTGTCCTAGATGCTTTCTTTTTCCAAAGATCAAGATATGGCCTTCTCTCTCAAATTTTGTCAAGAATATTTTGTTTGTATATATTAGTTGATCATAAAAGTTTTATTACTTAGGCCTGCTGAGCATTGTTTTAATTTTTGTTCAGCTCTTCAAAAGTTATGCAAAATTCCTCTGAGTTGCTTGTATTTTTCTCAGTCCATTTTTCATAGCATTTACTGATTAGTCTGAATTTCAGGAAGTGAGAGACCTCTTGTGGACAGACATACAAAACCTATGTTAGTACATGGTTTACTCTTAAAGCTTCGGTAACTTAAATGGTGACATAAATAATAAAGAATTATTATTAAATGTAACTAATTAACAGAGCTTATAAACAACAGGAATTTCAGATGCTTCCTAATCACATGAAACATAAATTTCCAGACGTCTTGCATGTAACTGTTGCTGGACTGAAGGCGATCGGCTCTGGGGCAGACACGCTCTGCAGTGGACAGGGGCCTCTGGACAGGCAGGGCTTTTTCTCTGGCATCGAGGCCACTCGAGGCAGTCGAGGAAGCAGCCAGGCCCTGGCAGCCCTCGCGAGGGAGGCTGATGAGGTGTAGGCCGAGTGTGGTGGTTTTACCGTGCTGGGCAGCTAAACACCACAGCCTCACTCCCCCTCCTTAGATGAGGAGGGGTTAGAAGTAAAGCAAAGAACAACTCATGGGTTGAAATAAGGATAATTTAATTAAAGGGAAATAATAATAATAATAATAATAATAATAAAGAAAGATTAGTATGAACTAAACAATTAAACTAAAGGGGAAAAAAAAGGGAAAGGGGAAAAGGGAGGGGGAAAGGAAAAAAAGGGAGGAAAACAAACAAATAAAACAAATGAAGGCTATGTGGAAGTGCAGAGGAAAGAAATTACTCTCTACTTCCCACAAATAAGCGATGCTTGACCACGTCCTTGAAGCAGGGCCTCAACACACATAGCCGGTGTTCGGGAGGAGGACCGACGTTTTCACAAGAGCCTACCCCTCCCCTCTTCTTCCTGTTTCCAGCTTTTATTGCTGAGTGTGACACAACATGGTATGGAATACCCCTTTGGTTGGTTTAGGTCAGCTGCCCTGGTGATGTTTCTCTTCTCACTTTTTACCCACCTCCTAGGAGGGTTAGGGAGAGTCCTGATGCTGTGCCAGCACTGCTCAGCAGCAGACACAACACTGGTGTGATAACACTGCTGTTCCAGCTACAAGTGCAGAGCACACCACTATATGGGCTGCTGCAGGGAAAGTTAACATTCCAGCCAGTCCCAGTACACAGAGCCGGCAGCTCCCTCTCCCCGGCTGTTCAAAAGCTGCCCCTGGGGAGCGCGGCCACCTGGACAGGCAAACAGGGCGGGGCGCGGCAGTTAATGCGGGCAGGGCGAGCAGGGAGGGCAGAGCGATGCCCCCACCCATAAGAACAACTCCTCTAACGGGTGTCTACCACTAACTAGGGCGTAATGGTCTACACTAGGCAGAGAGCTCTCCCTAGGAAGTCTGTAACCACCCAGACTGACTTCCCGCTCAGCAATGCGGCAGTTCAGGTCTCTGGATGCAGGAAGTGCCTGAGCCTGTTGCTGCCCTATGAAAGACACCGTGTATCTGAGGTGTAAGCAGGTGGATGACCTGGTCCGCCTGGTGGCAGGGCTCAAGGAGGAGGCGGAGAGGTTGAGGGCCATCAGCGAGTGTGAGCAGGAGATAGACTGGTGGAGTGACTCTCTGCAGGGCCTGAAGGAGAGGTACCGGGGTGAGACACCCCAAATGGGGGTGGGCCCCCTGCCCTGTCACAGTCGGGCAGAGGGGAGGGGACCTGGGCGTTGAGGAGGAATGGAGACATTGCAGGCGATGCCCCCTTCCCCCCCCCCCCCCCCCCCCCACCGGCCCTACCTTCCCAAGTGCCCTTACACAACAGGTTTGAGGCCCTGGAGCTTGAGAGACTGGTAGGTGAGGTTGAGATAGAAAGTGCACACAGGAGGATGCCTAGGGCGAGGAAGTTAACTCCATGCCTCAAGACTGCCTCCACCAAGAAAGACAGAAGGGTAATTGTTGTAGGTGACTCCCTTCTCAGA